CCCTATATTTTTCAGGAATAACAATTAATTCCCTTTCATTTCCATTTTTATCTATTTTCCTTTTTCACCAACAATCCATTTTCTTTTACTTTGAAATCATTTGTCTTGCTGGAATTTTCATTTTTAGCTTCGTTAAGCAATGACGCTAGATCTCTGCTTTGATGCTGAGATTCAATTAATTCCTTTGAATTAACATTAATCACTTTCTTAAGTTCCTTGTCTTCCTCATCAGCTTGAGGTAAAATATCTTCGTCAGTTTCAATAAACTTCAGTTCTTCTAGTTTCTCCATTTCAATTTCTCTGCTTCGATCATCTTCATGAGATCTTTTTACTTGAGATCGTGTCAAAACTGCATTTATTTTTTCTAAATTTAAGAATGATTTACTTTTGAACAATTGGGCAGTTTTGTTACCCAATACATATCTGCCTGGATCATTTGTAACAACAGCTGCCTTTGTCTTTATATGACCAAGTTCGCAATTAATTTCAACTTCCGCTAACGGTAGACACACTAAATGGTCATTTAAAAGATATTGTACCCAGACATGTTCTCCAGTCATTTTTGCGTTATCTATGTATTTTCGAGAAATAACATCAACAGTGGCTCCTGTGTCTCGAAGAATAGGCATTTCATGCCCATTAACTAAACCGTTAATTGTATATGTCTCTAACAAATCATCATTCGAAGATACGCAATTTATCTTTTCATTTGGTTTTAGCGAGGACACTGAGGCTTAAAATGTTCGTATGATCCACACTCGAAACAACGTGGTCGATACCTTTTGTCATATAAATTTTCTTGGTTCTTGTTTTGAAATTGACTTCTTTGTCGGTGATCTTTCTGGTATTTTGAATCGTCCCATTTATCAGAATGCTTAAAATGAGGCGGATGCTCTATTTTTTTTCACAAAATTATCATAACGCGGTTTAAATGATCCTTTGTTAATTTTCTCAGTCTGATTGGCAGAAAATTTCGGTTTTATTGTTTTTCTCACATCTTCAAAATCTTCAATTTTCTTAACCATTTCAGTAGGTGAAATGATGGTTGTCCATTGATCCATAAAATGTTCTTTGAAATCAGGAGAGGTACGCTTTTTTATTTGATCAACCAGCATGAGATCTTTTAGCTGTTCAAAAGTTTTAATGTTTAATCCGTTAAGCCATCCTTCTAAATAATTCTTTAATTCATAGTAGAAATCATACCAAGTACTTTCAGTAGATTTTTGGTGTTTATTAAATAGTTGTCGAAATTTTTCCGCACTTAATTTAAATCGTTGTAACAGTAAAGTTTTTACATATTCATACTTTTTCGCGTCCTCTTCTGGTTCTCTAGCAATAAGCTGAACAATGTCGGGAGGCAGCAATGAAATAAGTTGAGTCACTTGATTTTCAGCAGGTATATTCATTATTTTAGCTTGACGCTCAAATAACACCAGAAATAAACTTATTTCATCTTCTTTAGGGTTGAAACGTGGCATGACATCGTGAATTCTGATTTTTAAAGGCTGCTCAGGTAACTGCGTAGTTTCTACCGGCTGTGCTGTGGCAGCCATTGCTTCCAGTTGAAGTTTCTGTAGCTCAAAGGCTCTAATTCGCTCTTCTCTTTCAAGCTCTTCTTTCTCTTTCGCGTTCTTCTCTTCTTTCTCTTTCTTCTCTTTCACGTTCTTTTTCTCTTTCTTCTCTCTTCTTCCTTCTTTCGCTTTCCTTTTCTTCTCTTTCTTCTCTTTTCTTTCGCATTTCTTCTTTTCGTTTCCCTTCTTCTCTAATTGCAGCCAGTAGTTCTCGAGTAAACTCCTCATCATAATCGGGACTTTCAGTAATCAGTTTATGCAATTGAGCAATCTTAAATTCAGGTTTCACGGTTAAACCTAACTCTTCTGCTAGTACTTTTAAATCCTGTTTTTTACTCCTAGCTAAGAATGACATGTTGACACAAGTTACTTTAATAGGCTTCCTTTTGAAATTCAATCTAAAAGCTCGTACTTGTATTAAAAATATATAATTTCTGGTGAGATTTAATTTCTCGAAATACGAAATTCACACTAACCAATTGGAGAGAATTATTTAAACAACTTTGCCAGGTTGGTACAAAATAATATAATGCTACGTCGGGTTGAAGTTTTAACTCACTATTCACAAGCCTCATTAGCTATAACTATATAAACACCTTTGCCAGTTAGGCAATACAATGGAATTTTACCAACGTCAGTTTGACGATTTTACTATCTATCTCCACGCCTGGTTGGCGATAACAAAAACAATTTTTGCCAGTTTGGCAATACAACTTTTAGAACAGAGTTGCCAACTCTCCCGATTTAGGCGGGAGTCTCCCGATTTTCGACCGATCTCCCGCCAACCCGATTTACAATATATTTCTCCCGACTTTTTCTTATTCTTAAAATTTCTCACGATTTTTATGGAACTTGGCTTAATACTTTGTTATATGAACAAAAGTGATTTTGGACGTTTGAAAGCAATTGAATTTTCTCTAGATTATATCTAAAACAAAACCTTACGAATCAGATAACTTCTGCTTTGTGAGTGAGAGCATTATACGTATCCCAGAAACGTCATTCTCCAGTTCTCCAATGGGTATCTGCGTGTCAGCTGGCATATATTAGCCAATGAGGACTAGGCAAGCTGTTATTTGGATGTTCTTTAGTTATTTCGTTCAATTTGTGCTGAGTTGTGTGAGTGCACGTGCCTTCGGAAGATAGTTTTAGAAATTACCATCTTTTGTTTTGTCTGCGAGAATGAAATACTCGTGTACGTTTCAAAAATCGTACACAGTTGACTTTCCTTCCATTATTTCCTCAAGGAAATGTAATAAATTTGCGATGTGCACCACCTGTCGTTGCGATTTTTCGAATTCGCAATGTGGAAGGGCGGATGTTCTCAAACATGTGCGAACACAAAAACACAAGGATAACATGAGTTGTTTTTTAAAAAAACGAAAAATTAAATTTTTCTTCGGAAACAAAGGACCAAAAAGTTATTAATGCAGAATGCCTGTTCTCTGCCTTTTTACTGGAGCACAACCTGCCACTGAATGCATCGGATCACGCTGCAGCTTTATTTAGAAAAATGTTTCCCGATAGTGAAATTGCTAAGAAATACTCAAGTGCAAGAACGAAAACAGGTTCAATTGTTAAAGAAATGGGTTTGAAAAATAAATCTTCAGTTATTGATTGCATAAAACAGCTCCGTTCTGCCTCTCTACGGATGGAAGCAATAATACCGATTCAAAACTGTATCCCATTGTTGTTTCTTTTTTTAATCCAGATTCTTAAGAAATTGAGTGCAGTTTACTTTCTGTCCCCATTTTAGAAGGACATTTGACAGGCTTTAATATACCACAGCTAATTATTATACTTTAAAAGAAAATGCAGGCCCTCTGGATAATTGCTTAGCACTTGGTACCGATAATGCACCAGTATTGGTAGGCTTGAAGACTGGTGTTGCAGGCATCTTAAGAAAGGAAAATTCAGATTTGCAGATTATGAGGTGCACCTGTCACCTCTTAAATTTAGCAGCTGAAAAAGGGGTAGCTTCTTTACCAATAAGTGTGGATGAACACATTGTTGATATTTATTATTATCTTGAAAGGAGTTCTAAAAGGAAGGAAAAATTGAAACAGTTCCAACAGCTGCATAACAGCAGTTTACAATTAGAAAACTTGAATGAAGTTATAAAATCAGCTAGGATTGACACCCAGTGGAGTTTAATTGGAAAACTGAAAGGTGCTAATGGAATTTTAAAATATAGTCAACTGTCTAGAATTGTGTTGGCCATCTTGACAGTTCCCCATAGTAGTCAGAGTGTGAGAGGATTTTCAGTGTTGTTGCATAAACGAGGACTAAATTTAGATCTAATATTAGTGATGACATATTAGAAAAACTTTTCTTAGCGAAAGCAGGCCTACGTGGCAATTGCAGTGAACAACCTCCTTTTTTTTTTTCCTTAAACGATGCAAGTAATAAAAATGTTTTTTTATGTGTAAGGTATTTTTGTGTTGCTTGCATTTAAGAATAAGTTACTATTTAAAGTTAATTCATTATTAAAAACCATATTTTTATCATTTAAAAAGTCTTCTTAACATTGTGAAAAATCTCCTGATTTTTGAGTGTCATAGGTTGGCAAGTATGTTAGAATATACAATCTGTAATACGTCGAGATGACGTTACTATCTACCACACGCCTGGATGGCGAGAACTTTGCCAATTCTGCAGTATAATCAATTCACTCTACGTCAGTTTGACGTTATTACTTATTTTCACATGCCTGCTTGGCAACAAATTCAAAAACTCAGTTAGCATTTTTTTTTTTTTTTTTTTTTTTTTTAAAATGCCAGATGGCTTACACATATCAATTATCAACATAAAATTTCAATACAAATAAAAGTAAAGCATAAATAATAACTTCAAAATACTTCTTTACCACAAATATCAATTATAAAATTTAAGCTGAATATTTTTAGAGTTAGTTATTTTAAACAAAATCTTACACGATAAACTATAATTCTGAAACAAAGTATTAAAATTCAATAAAATCTTTTTTTAAGAAAACCAAAAGTTAATCTTATCTTCAGAGATCAGCAGTATCCTATTTTTGACAGTTTTTGCTCAGACGCAAGTTACAGAAGCACAGAAGATAATCTTTGAATGATCCGCTTCAAATTTGGCTTTAAAACGGCAGACTTCTTACATCCATTTATCCTTGAAATAAACAAACTTGGCAATTGGTATTAGCAAACTTGTTGTAAAAAATTCAGTAAATTTCTGGGATTAGGAGACCAGCACCATCGAAATTGATAATTGCACTCTTAATTTCCAGTATCTCGGTGGAACCTCCAATTTATTACGACTGTAATGTATTTTGCAGTAAGTTACAAAACAGACAATCTTCTCAGTAGAACATAAATTTTATTTCTAGTTCTCGGTGATAGACAAATTTTATACAATTCTTAAGTGGCAAAATTTTAATACTACTCCTAGCTGGCAAAATCTTCAGAAAACTAAATCTTTTTAAAACAATATCTCTCGTTGCTGAGTAACGGTTTGATACAAATATGGCATTGCCACTTCAACAATAATTATATTTATTTATTAAATAACAAGATATTACAGCAGTTAGAAACGATATGCCGGTTAATTTAATATTGTTAACAGATAATGATATTTCTTGGCAAAATAATTTATTCTACGTATCTAACAATTTATTTTATCACAGGGATTTTCAGATGATGTTTGACCTTAAAATTCAGAATGCTTTCTATACTTTTATTTTTTAAATTAATATAACGAGAGACTAATATTCATGTAATGTACGAAATATGGCAATATTTTAACTTATGACAACATAACAGTTTTAAGTTATAAATATCTGCTGTTTAAAACTGAGAGTCTTTATTTTATATCTCTTAACAATATCTTTTAAATTAAATATGGTGGAAAAATTTATAAATTTCTCATCAAAAACAAGAACTATTCCAACTTTCAAGCCATATTACATGATAGTTTAACCTTAAATTTAAATCTGTTAAAATAATAATTTTTTTGATGCTATATGTTGTAGAAATATTTATTTACATATATTTACATAAAAAAATAAATATTTTTTACAATTTTTGATAAAATCACGTTATAAATTTTCAGTATACACAGAATATAAATTTTTAATAAAGTTCAACTAAAGAAATAAACAGAATCCAGTACTTTGTCTAAATCAAATGCACCTGAAAAAAGAAAAATCAATTAAATGGACTAATGGTACACAGACATAAAACAATCTTAAAAATTTGTTATTCATTACATACTTAATTCAAAATAAATATGCATAGTTACTAAATTCCTGTGTTTTTTGTGTAATGTGCATTTAAATGATAAAAGTCATGGGGTCATTATGAAAGATCCCTTGCTTTAGCAAGAGCAGCAACACAACATGGTATAACTCTTCAAGTCGATGGAACTCTCCTGGGGAGATTATTATGAACCACACTATTTGGATATTAATTCGTTACTGGATCTTCTGAACAAACAGACCTTTTGATCATGTCCCATAACTTCATTAATGGCAATGACACTGCAGAAACAGTTCAGTGTTCCTCATACTGGTCTTAAAAAATTTTGGTACATAATTATTCTGTAAAATCTTAATGTTCTTACACCCAAAGGGGCATTTGTTAACGGTTTGTGTGTTACCTTTATTTATTAAATATCATGTTCTTTGCACTTAAATCATAAAATTTAATTCAACAGAAATATATCAGAATAATTTTTAAATAAGTATATCTTTAGAATTCCATACATAGTGTCGTGCACTGGAGATAAAAATATCCTCCCCCCTGTACAGTGTTGCTATTGCTCACTTTGAAATCGTTGAGTTTGTTAATAAAAAATTCATTAAAGTGTTGCAAAATATGAAATCAATAATAAAACAAATTCCAAATTAGGGCTTTCAGATGCCCGTATTCGGTGGAGGATTACGTTATTCAAAATTTGATGGCTTTCTAGGTACCATCGTTTTTTCACATTGCAGGTAAATTGCCTGACATGAAGGGCAGTAAATGGTCCACAATCTTAACAATTTCTAACTAATGATATATTTAACTAGATCAAAGAAACCACAGCATTGTAAAATGGCTTCCAGAAGCTGTACAATATCTGAACACTACTGTCAGCTTACCATGAACTAAAACCATGAGTTATCAGACCAGGTTACATTAGTCCAATTAGTATATCATAAATTCATGTGAAGCACTGTTATTAAGATTCTGGTGGGTCTTTATTTTGATCTTATAAGTATGCTTCTGGCATTTATTATACAGAAATGTAGATATTATTTTGCATAATGTTGCTTGTCTGTCAGCACGGACAATTCTTGTCAAATGTACTGATTATGGTTATTAAGCACCTATGAGTGATCACTTTGCTATGCATGATGGATAATTTGCATCATGATATGAAGCATGATGCTTTCATAAGGTATTATGAATACAACTGGATTAAGAAATACAGAAAATCCAAATAATTTCAGAATTTTGTCTCTTTCACAGTGCTCCAGTACTCTATGTTCAAAATCTAATAATTCAGGTTGCCATTTCTGATAACATGATGTTAAAAGCTTCTTCACAAGAGTTAACTAATGCATGAATATTGAACATCTGCATAAACTTAAGCTAACACATGCACATTATCCCTTTTGGCATTTGGCTGTGAAAAATGAGTGAACTGATGTTAGTAACTGAATCACGTCAAACCAAGCAATAAGTTACAACTATAATAAGCACGAACATTACCTAAAACAAGTTTTTCTATTCATATTAATAATGACACATTGCTTTTTATTAGTAGTGTGTGTGGAATTAATGCAAACATCAAATACAGTCAAAAGTCGTTAATTCGGACACCCATAATCCGGAATGATCTATAATCCGGACCTCAAAGCTACAAACTTTCTGCGCATGCGCCGCGTTCACGCATGCGCACAGGCGTTTACGAGAGCGCGTAAGACCCTTACGGCTGCGAATATGTTTGTGCGCATGCGCGTTTAATGTGTAACGGAGTTATACGCAAAGTTAATGTTATCTAATTCAGTTAATGTTGCAGATTGCGTTGTTCCTTAATCTTCGAATTAGATCCGGCTTATTATTTTTTGCAGACTGTTAGAGCAATTTTATAAAAGTAAGCTTGAACTTTCGATTATGTCAAATAGAATTTCCGATATATATTTACTACAAAGCGAAAGTATGTTTTGAAATCCGAAATCTGTTTATCAATTTCACGCTGCTCTGCGGCAGAGGGGGGGGGCAGAAAGAAAGAAACGTCATTATTAGATTATGATAGATTAGAAAGATTATGTCAAATAGAATTTCCGATATATATTTACTAATATGTAATTTGTATCTACAAAGCGAAAGTATGTTTTGAAATCCGAAATTTGTTTATCAATTTCACGCTGCGGATTGGAAGTTGATCTCTCAGCACTATCCTTATCTTCAGGGCAGATGTTTTTATTTTATTTGGTTTATAATTCCGCACTAAGTGTAGTATTTCATCTCGATGTACTCCGTCTTTGATATGATTTAAATCAAGTTCGTCGTCATTATAATTCGCTTCTGATAGTGAAGAAAGTGACCCAGAGGTTATTGAAAATGAAAACATTTCGATTGACAAATTAGTCGGTATTCTCAACACAGCAATATAGGACTTGAACAGCGGAACTTTGTAACTAAACAAGAAATTATGTCTGTTTAATAGAATTAAAGAGAAAGTATTATCACATGAAACGAAGCAACTTACATTGAAGGAAATGTTTAATAAAGTAAACAAATAAATATTAAGCTTTTTCTTTTTGTAAATTTTGATACCCTTTAGATCATAATTGTTCTTTATTTCATAAATTACGGTTTCATATTTTTAATTTTGTAATTTCTGCATGCCATCTTACCAGATTTAAACTGATGATCTATAATCCGGAAAAATCGATAATCCGGAATCGCCAAAGTCCCGACGAGTCCGGATTAACGACTTTTGACTGTAGATGGATTTCTTGAAATTTTACATGAAGATAAGATATCAAGACATTATGAGTTTCAATACTGCTCCCGAGGAAATTTCAAATGTCTCTACACACATTACTTTAAAAAATGGCCTTAAGTAATAAGAGCAAATGCTATATGTATTTCACATCTATGGCTCACATAGCTGCCAACCTTGAAATCTGAAAAATGGGAGATTTTTGAGAGAAAACCTAGAGAAACTAGAAGGTTTTCATGTTCTAAAGCGATGCTATGCAAAAGAGCTTATCTTAAATTCTTTTTATAATGCATAATTCAGATTATTGAACTACTTGTAATTAAATTATGTACAATATATTAGTATTGAATTATATATTCTCAATTTTATGCTCTTTGGCTAGATTTATTTTGTACATTACTTTTAATACTCAGAAAAATCTCGAATAGAGAAGAAAAGCTTTTATTTATCGAAGTACTTTCAAATACGATGAAAATTTAATAATTAGTGCACATAATATTAATTTGTATAAACTTAGTATTGTACCATACAGTGAAGTAAAATTAATATAAATATTAACTGATTAAACACTGGTTGAATCTTCATATAAACATCTACAAATTAAGAAAATTAGAATAACATAAAATAAAATTTAACAAATAAATAAATAAATAAATTGTTCTGAAAATCACAGCGGGTGGAGGAATAGAATTTGTGCAATTCAAGTTCCATTCATTTAATAAATTTTATTTATTGCTGAAAAACATTTTCCTGTGTAGGAGAGAGGAAAAAAAAAAGCTAAAAATTAAAAACCAAGAGATTTTGTGATCTACTGAGAGCCCAAGGCAGCTATGTACTTAGCATTTAGTTTCATTTAAGACTTACAAGCTACAGCATCCTGAAATTCTATGATGAACTGCTCTGAACAGAAACAGAACATAAAATATGAAGTTATCAAATCAATGACAACTGCAAGAACACTATGGATATTTTGAATTTATAGTGACCAAAATTGTTATTTAGATGTTACTTCATTTGGACATACTATGTTTTAGATAGCTGCTCTAATCATTATTAAGATTATGCAACTATTAATTAAGGCTCTGAATAAATGAAAATATAATTAAAATAATTACTCATTTCAATAAAATGAACATTGTTGTCAGCTAAATCTGAATTTAAGACTAGACAGTGTCTTAAAAAAATATAACAATTTAAAGAAATATGATGGGACTCCTTGTCACATAAAGAAAATATACTTTTTTTCCTATTATCAAGCCAGTATAATTAGTGATAAGAAAGGTAATTATTTTATGGCAATGCTAAGTTAAAGATTTTGAAAATATTAAATAAATCTCTGAATTTTAGACCTTTTCTCTTATGATTTTTCTTATATTATTTTTAATCTTTGAATAATTTTAATATTAATTATAATATATGCCAGTTATTTGAATTCTGAATTTATAAATTTTTCATGAACAATATGCATTGCAATAAAAAAGAAAATGTATGTATATATAAAGCAAAGTATAGAAACACTTAAATGGGATTATTAACCTCGTGTAGTGACATGTTTACATTGCCAGAATTAAACTAGCTCACAAGTATTAGTTTGAAATAAACAAAATGTAATGCTTATTTAGTGACATGCAAGTTATTTAGATAACTGCTTCATATTTAATGGATTTTTTTTTTTTTGTGAATTATTAGAGAAATATATTACATTTTCCCCCACAATCATTAGTCTAAATTTTGTAATGAAAAATCTCACAATTTATTTTCCATCTTCATGAATTTTGGCTCCCCACTCCCTTACATGATTAAATTAGTATCTTAAGGATAAGAAATAAATATCTATTGGGTTAAACATATGACTATTATAATTTTTCTTTTTAGTGTTTTGAAGAACTTCAAAATAAAATCATTCTTCTTAGTCTATGTGAAAAACATTTTGATTATAATAAAATATAACCGAAATTTTTATGCTAAACACAGAAATAAATACAAAATTTGAAAGCCAATGAAAAAAAATTATTGCTAAAAATGGAAACTTAATATATAAACTGTGTTGCATTATACTGCCATTTCAAATCTTATCCAAAATATAATGTTAAAAATGTGGGCAAATCAGGAGTGTTGAAGCAAAGCATAATTTATTTTATTTCCATATTTAAGAATGATGAGAATGCTTTTCTTTTTTCCACCCCAAAGATGGACAATAGAATTGTGTTCGACATTTTTAATCCTGCACTAACATTTATATCAGTAAATTCTAATGTGTTTTTATCATCATTGTATTTTAATACTGCCCAATAAGGAATTTACCTGATGCACTGTACAAAACTTTTTTTCACTCAGTACATTCATATTATAAAATCCAATAATACACTGAAACTAAATTACCTTTTTCAGGAACTCTCATCAGAACATCCCTCAACTTTAACTTTGCTGATTTTTCCTTTGATTGTTTTTCATGAATATTTCTAAAACAAAACAAGTTTAGATTGTTTTTATTTAGTATAGTTTGGGAAGGGAGGAGAAGAAAAGGTTTTCACATTAAAATACTGGAACAGTTATTTTGAATGCATAATTGAGTATTTCTGATAATTTAAAAATCATTTTATAAAATAAAAACTAATAATGATCAATTTATGAAAACTTATTTTTAACAAAATATTAAACCATTATATCATTTCAGTTGCAGTAATTAACAATCATAACAATTTCATATTATTACCTAGTAAGTAATTAAAGTCCTAAAATGCATCCAAGACAAACTTACTTATCAGCAACATAGGCATATTTTTCTAAAAAGAATGATGATAAATTTTCTAGAATTGGTTCCTTGTGTAATGCAACAAACTGTTCTCGGCAAATCTGAATAGAAAAAAAAAAATTCTTCTTTAATTACAGATTCGAGCAGTAAAACATAAAAATCATAAAAATATATGTAAGGCTACAGCATAAAAGAGACAAAAATTAATTTATGCTGTTCATTTCAAGTTTGCTTTGTCTTTAAATTTGCTGTGAATGAAAAAAAATTATGAGTAAAAAATTCTGCCAAATTTCATAAACATAGATGTCTTCTGTCAGTATCAGAATTTGTCTCAGAAAAAGCACAGAAATCAGCAGTAGACTACACAGAAGTTAATGACATAAATTGAATTCCTGACAACATAAAAAGCTGTCACTAAAAGATAACTTGCTTTCCTGTTGATTTTGAATACAGTTCGTTTTTCTAGAAAAAGGGGAACTTTTCTAGAAAAACGAACTGTATTCAAAATCAACCGGAAAGCAAAGCAGATTTTGCAATGGCAATTAAGACACTAACAAATCATAGGCCTTAACTCTTATTAATAAGAAATATGAGAGATTCTGTAACAATAATCTTAATCAGAATTCACCTTTTGAAAGAGACACTGAAACAGAGTTCTACAGCCATACGATAACTGTCTTAGAAGAGAAGAAAGCCACACAGACATTTTTTTTATTATTTTTAAAATTGTAAAATTTCTTTTTTTATTAAGAAATTAGCAATTTCGAAAACTAAATTTTTTTAAATAAAATATTTTTTAAGGTCTAGCATATTTAGAGTGAAGCATAATAATTTATTCTGAATCACTGCATATACTAAATGTAAAGTATTTGAAACTTTGAAAGTTTTATTCAATGCAATGTAGAGCATACACTTTGAATTTGTTGAATAGATGCTCCAGGCAAAGATAAGGAAATATGTTAGGAAGAACCTCTTGAAAGATTGTTTCAAAAAGGTATTTCTGAAACCTCATGAAAATAACTAACCTTAATCTTTTCATTACATAATTAATAAACGGGGTGATATTAAATGACAAATGCTGTTCTGACAGTTTTCATAGTTTAAAGACTACAAAATAAAGACACAATCTTTCATTTGCTGCCCCATTGGAAATTCTGCTTAAAATAGAAAAAGTTACCCCACCTTTAAAATAAAAGAGGGGGAGTAATTATAACAATATTATTACACTTTCAAACACAAAAATAAAAATACATTTCAACTGAACACACCAGCACAAGATTGGAAGGAGCATCAGAGCTTCCTGATAATAAAATAAGACTCAAATAACAATTATATCTGCATGGTAACTAAATACAAAAGAAAATTTAATATTCTTCCTGATTTATATACTTCTTCCATCTTAAAATATTATTCCTATACACTTCTGTAATTTTTATATCTTATTCATCCTTCTCCTGATGCCAAGTTGTGGGTTTAAAGATTTCTTCTTATAATTAAAATGATGAACTAATATTTTCTACTTAAAACAAATTAAGAGAAAAGTTGCATAAAATACAAATACAGTTGAAAAACAGCTGAGATCTTACATCTTTAAAATTCAAATAAAAGTTTGCAAAACAAAAATGAAACTCACAACAAAATGCAATTCTTAAATGACATTAAAATGCACCTAAAGCTGCAGTAATAAAAAATATTAAAAAGATTTAAATATGCTTATCTAAGCAAAAACAAAATATTTATAAATTTGAGCTTCCTTCATCAGCAGCCTGTTTGAAAATTATAAAAATGGGAAAACACAAAAATAAAAATGTATAAATGGACAGATAAAATGTAAATACATGGGAAAATTTTAAATGTGAAACCCAAGATAAAATGGAATACTAACAGTGGATTTGCAAAAGTGTGAATGCTGAATTAAACATAAATACCACACAGCAATAATAATAATAATGAGAATTTCATTGAACTGACAATTCAGAATCTGAAATTTCTTTTATTTTAAAATTAAAAAGAAGCAATGTGAAAATGAAAATAATAATCATCACACTAGAAGCACTCAAATCTCAAAAACCACGCATGTCTCATTGGATACTGCACACACACTAAGTCCATCAATTGCATTTCTTACTTTGCCAGTTCACCCACAAAAAATATATGTATTATGAATAATTGCATCTCACAATAGATATGCAAAGAAAATAATTTTTACACATTTTAGCATTTAATTACAATAATACTAACCTTGTTCATAATTTCTACAGTTGAGGCATGAGTCCAGTAACAATCATGGACGGAGACATAAGTAATACCTTTTCTACAGTCAGAAATTGTAAAATCTCAGTTTTACATATAAATAATGAAATATCATTTGAGAATAATATAATCTATCTTTTAATATAGTTTTAAATGTTTTTAGCTTAAAAAGGTAGATACATTTGTAAATGCAAACATTTTTATGCACATTTATTACAAAACTTTAAAAATTCATTATTATATTATATTGGGGGGATTGTTTGCATTAATTATTCAACAAAACATGCATATTCATTAATAATTATAGAAAATTAGAAAATAATTCAAAATTTTATGGTTAAAGAACTTTGTGTTCAACATTTAAATATATATATTATATTTACTTAACCATAAAATTACCTCATAAGTAAGATGCCCATCCTTTTTGCTACACATTGTTTACACAGAAGGAAAATAAAAGACTTTCATGCAAGATGGTATCACTTATTTCAACTTAATATTTTCGAAGATGTTTAAAAATATTATGCCCAGAAATGAAATTAATAAATATAATTTTCTTTTAATGTAAAAATTAAGTGACAGCAAATATATTTTATATTATGTATATAAGACATGCCCATTCTCAGAACAACATTTTACAATGAAAAAAATCATCTTATACTCTATCCAATATAGTATAGTTCTCATCTCAAAGATTTTGTGTTATTTTTCATATTAGGAGAAGAAAAACTCCCATATTCAATACCTTTGGCAAAACAAAGATGTCAGCATCATGTGAGTAGAATCTAAAGAATGTATAAAATTAGGTGCAAAAGCATTTTTTTGTTTCCTTATATTTGGCAGCCTGCAAAGGAATGAATCAAAATTAATTTTTACACTTTGATAAAAAAATTAAATAGCATGAAAAAATGTATTAAGTTGTCATGATATATCAACATCACAGTACTGCAAAGGTAAAAAATAAATAAAAGAATATTAAAATATTGCTAATGTTAATTGAAAAAGCTATTTTGTCATGTAGTGAACAATGCATATTACTTCAAAAATTTAAATATATATAAATGAAAAGGTCTAAGCAATTAAGAATATTAAACTAAGCAAAGAAATAAGCTCATCCTGTAAAGCTTATGTTAATTAACCATTATGTTAGTATTTCATACATACTTTTACTTCCACCTTTATCAGCTGTCACCAGGATGAAAATTAGATACACAAAGAACAAAGTTCTTGAATATTAGAGAGCTTTGGCATCAATGCTGACTATATTACTGTTTCCTTGTGAGAATTACATTAGACCAATGTTAGCTACTTGCTACCCGAGTTGCACATGCAAATTAGTTTGAGCCAACACTTGATGGGTTTTTATTTGTGAATCTGAGTTAAATTACCTTTTTACCTCAGTTTACTTACATTTTATGTTAGTTGAATTCTGTAAGCTGCGGGGAGACTATTCTATAAGCACTGCATTTCTTAAGCTCAGTTTTAAATGAAAAGGATTGTTTAAACCTTCTTCTGAATTTTTAACTGCTTAATAGATGGGGCAGTGTTTCCCAAATATCAGGTTATGAAAGGAAAACACTGGGTCACTTTAAACTTTACAATAACATGTAACTATATTAGACTGTCAACAGATGATGGCAAGATTTAGTAATTTAATATCTTCATAGATATTCATTCCTATTTTAAGGTTCTCTGTGGGGTCATCAAAACTCAATTAGACCTGACTGGAGTATGGCAGCAGATCCATCCGATGTTTCTATATGAGAGTATGACACCGAATCTAGACTAGAGTAAGAAAACACATTGTTAGGGTCTACTGCCATATTCCAATAAATTTTTGGTGGCATTATGGGCTTATTTACACTCTCAGTGATTACTTGTTAGTTATTATTTCAGATATTGCACATAATTTTGTACTTATTTATTATCAATTATAATATCATATCACATTTATTTATAAATGGATAAATGAATAATAATAACAATAATAAATGTGCCAGTTATAACTGATACACAATCAAATTATGTTCAGGCAGGACACTTTTTGTTAAATGAAAAGTTAACTAATGTTCAGCCACGCACAAACTCCGAGAATGGCACTAATAAAAAGCCAAAGTGTCCATACACATACAAAAAGAAGGAAATACCCTAGATTCAACAGTATTCTGACTACTGTACAAAATATGGTTGCATGAAAGTTGCCAATAAAAAACCATCATGTATTATTTGTTACAATACCTTATCAAATGAGTCCATGAGATTTTCAGAGTTGAACTGACATTTGGAGTTAAAACATCCTAGGATATACCGGTCCAACAAAATACCATTAATAGATTTGTGGTTCTCCAATCGTCAACAGTATCAATTTTTGGCAAAAAAGGCAATGAAATTTTCTTACAACTTACAAATGTGAAATAGCCTTCTTGACACCAGTTTTTCAAAAAATAAATGCAAAAATTGATTCAATTCAAATCAGACTTAAGAACAAAGCTGTCATCTCTTTCAGTAATCCTGAAAGTTTTAGGTTAATGAGAAACAGCATCTCACTTCCCATTAAAAATCTATTATTTTACATTTTTGCATGTATTTTTGTTACTCTTAAAATAAAGGGGAAATATTTGAACATGAAAATTATTAAAATTTACTAATAAGCCATAAACATTTTTACTGGGTCTAAGAGGAAAGACATTAAAACAACTGGGTCACAAAAAACTTATTTTCAGAAAACCCTGAGATGAAATGATAAGTTGTTTGACAGTCCCAGAAGGGAATAAGTGAATGAATCCCTACAGTAACTATTTTGTCTTTTTATACGGTAAGCAACAAGGGCATGCAAAGAACACTAGTCCTCACTAGTTAATATACACAATATGACCAATATTATTGCTTAATATTCACTGGAGCATAAGGCTTTTAATTATGTCTGCTCTGCTTTGCAATGAAAAACATTTTGTTCTCTTTCATAGGTATCAAAGGGAAAACCAACTGATTGTGGATATGAGAAGTTTTTAGATACTGTTTCAATGAATTTTTTTAAAACTTTTTTCTACCAAATAACGCACAGCAATCTTGAAGTGGTAAGAATCTGACAGCTACAGCTAAGAATTTCAACAATAGATTAGCTTCTCTCCTTCTGCATTTAACTGTTTGTATGAAAATTCTATACTGAAATAATTATGCTTTAACATGTGATGGAGCTAACACATTAATATTTGTCTTAATATAAAACTGATATAGTGTGAATTTTTTTTATTGGTTAAAATGGAAAAAAAGAAGCTTTCCTTTCACATCTAATGATATAGTTCTGACCAAACATTTACTTAAATACAAAACAAAACAGATTCATTTTCCCCTCACCTTCCAAAACAAAAGTGTACATAAAACTAAAGATCGGTCATTCCTACAAAAAAAAAAAAAAAAAAAAAAAAAAAAAAAAAAAAAAAAAAAAAACCATCAATTTGTCAGCTTGTGTCATTAATAAGGGTTGTAATTTGATGCATAGATATAGAAATTACATATGCCTGAGCCACACTTTTTATTAATCCTGTAAATCTTCTTCTTTTTAATTAAGAAATTGGTCTAGAATAATACTTAAAAAAAAGTTTTGAAGATAGCTAAAAAAAATGAATAATTTTTTTATTTGAAAATATAAATATAAGCTTGATTTCTGTGGAGAAAAATTTAAGGAATCTTGATATGTTTATGACAGGTTCAGCAAGCAATATATAGACATATATTTTAGCAGCACATATTTAAAGTATACAAATTATACTTGGCTATAAGCAAGTCCATCACCAGTTTTTTTAATACCACTTATTTATGAATGGTGGCGGTTGAATATGTTTAGCTTATAAATTTTAGCACTTTACTAAAATTACAACAATTTTAATGCACCTAGAAAACAATATAATATTTTGCTCCAAATAAACATTAAAATATTTTTTAAATGTTTGAAAACAGATATCTCACACTGCAAAATAATTAGATAACAAAAGCAGTTCAATTTCAAAAGGCATTTTATACATACGCGTAAGGTTCATATTTACTGTTGTAATGTATTTCTGAGCCTTTTCCCTAAAAGAAAAGTAAAAAGGATTAAACTTTCGATTTACCATACATAGTAAAAATTACAATTTACTTACCAAAGAAATTGCAATAATGGAAAAGCTCTACATAGTGCACTTCAAGATTAAGTAATTTTTTACACTAACTTCTATTTTTTATTGCAGTCCCAATTTCCTCTTATTTCCTAACATTATGACATCTGATTTAAGAAATTCAAAACAAGTGTAAACATTTACATGCAACACAAACACCTTATTAGCTAAATAGAGGTTAAAAAATAAACTTGCATCTAAATATATATTTATAAAAAATAAAAAATAATAAAAAAAATCTGCTCTTTTCCTTTGCAGTTCTTAAATCGAATAAAATAAGATAAATGTAAATCAATTTTTTATTTAACTAAATATTTATCTTGAGAAGTTTTAGAGATTAAAAATTTTTGTAATTGATGCTTATTATTACTTTTATATACTCGCTGGTTTGTTTGTTATTTGAGGTAATCACAGTCATACCTAAGGTAACACTTATCTTGAACTGAATTCCAAGAATTCCTTATTATAATATTTTATATGAGGATCCAAGGTAGTGCACCCAATGTGAATGCAGCAGAACTAATTCACAAATTCAGTTATCTTCATAGACACTGAAGTACCATCACAAACATATCATTGTGTTACAAATTTTATATATATGTAAATAAGTTTAGTGAAATTTCAGTGGTACCTCGACATACGAGTTTAATTCGTTCTGTAACCTTGCTCGTATGCCAAATTGCTCGTATCTCAAAGCAATTTTTCCTATTGAAATTAATTGAAATGCCATTAATCCGTTCCAGCTCCCAAAACACCATCTCAGTTGTTTTTTAATAAGAAAAATGTATTTACAAGAAGAAACATTTATTTATAAATAACAAATATATATTCTATAAAAACATAGTTGGGCAAGTTTCGTTGAACAACTCCGATGCACGACCAGTTAGTTGCAACCTTTTCGGGGTGATTTTTATCCACAAACTCTACAACTTTCTCCCACATTCCCAAGATCTCCTTTATATCTCTTGTAGGGATAACCTCCTCCTTCTCTGGCTCCTCTTCAAAACTCATTTTTTTGTTGAACCACCGTATGCTGCTGCGAATGTAGATCATGTAACTCCTTGATTGTCAGCTCCTGAGACTGTTCCTCGACGAGTTCATTCCCATTTCTCTCATCCACCTCCAGATCCATGGATTTTCCCAGAGAAACAATCTCCTCTACCACTGAAACTTCGGGCTTCAATCCTTCGAAGGCCCTTTCAGCTACAGCCTCAGGCCACAGCTTCTTCCATGCAGAGGTTAAGGTCCTTGTTGTAATACCCAATCAGGCCTGTCTTAGGCATACCACGATGTTAAAGTGATCCTTCCAGAACTTGTATCTCAAATCTCGCTCTCATCTCAAAGCAAAATAGCGCTCGCTCGACGGCTAGTATCTCAAAACACTCGTATGTTAGGGCCCTCGTATATCGAGGTACCACTGTATATGTAAAATTGCAGTATCTCATGTATAATGTAACATTAAATATCTCAAAAAGCAAAGCTCTGAAGGGAAAATATGGTTACAGGGAGATATACAGCTATCTTGCCAAATTTACAAGATAATGCCAAGCCAGTGATAGTTTTGATAATTAAATTTTGTCACCAAATTCGGTGAGAAATTGCCAAACTTGGCGACCATTTGGGGACATTTTGGTCTGGTCTTTGTGTAACTGTATTGGCAGTTGGGGGGGGACTGCATAAGACTAAAGAGAGCATCAGTTTTCAGTTTTTAGCTCACAGTTGACTTCGGAATACTGAGAAATCAACATGTGAATTTCACGCTTTAGATGCAGTTTGCATTGCATTGTGTTTAACGTTCTTAGATTGAAGCAATTACTGATTGTGCTAGTCAAACTGAGAAGAGCTGTATGAATATTTTTGTGGAAAGTTCCAGAACTATAAAGTCTTTCTTTTGAGAAAATTTATAAAGCTATTATCAGTTCTGTGTGCATTCAATCTGTTACGAACCTGCACACATGGAATAACTGAATGCTAATTACTATCACTGCCTAGGGACCAAATCGAGTTAAATCTTTATACAACATTCATTTTTCATCATTTGTATTTATCCGATCAAGAAATGTCATTTTGCCACAGCCATGAAGAATAAATGACAATGCATTGCAAATTCTGTATCTTAGATAATCAGAGCTGTGCTGTAAGCTACAGCTGTACTCAATTGCATTTTTCTTCATCTAATAAACAGGGAATGGAATTGTCTTTTGGAGTTTGAAACATTCAACCTTTTGTAGACAGAAGTTGCCAATCTAAAATTTCAAAATTACTTCTGAAATGTTCTTATATCCACTGCTTCACTACTTCCAGATACATTTCAATAACGCTATCAGTATCATTCATTGCATTTTTTTTTCAATTACATATGCAGTATCTTATATGCTTTTCACTTGACATAATCCATTCTTATATTGCAAGTCACAAAAGCTAGAATTTAATATAAAGAAGATTCACCTTTACACTTAATACAATTAAATGCCAATAATCTGCTTGTTACCCAAGGTAAAATTTTTCAACAGAAAAAAAAAAAAAAAAAAAAAAAAAAAAAAAAAAAAAATTAGGGAATCATTTTATATTTAGCTACTGATAGTAATTGAGATGTGTGGCAGACAGTTTCTAGAAAACAGTAACTTGTTTGATATTTTTATCAACCTATTCATTTTAATGATCCATTTTGTTAAAAAGTTAAAAATTGTGATACAAACTCAAAGGTTTAAATTATTAACATTTAAACTTCCTATGATGTGCAAAAAGTAAAAAATAAATAATATTGATAACTATAAACATTTCAATATATAATAAAGGCTTTCAGTTAATTTTTGTTTAATTTTCTATCAAGGTAACAGCTTTTCTGAAAACAAAAACAGAAATTATAGTGTTACTAGCCTCTTTAAAAATAAATAATATGTAAAAACTCAAGACTTGTATGATTCTCAGGCCAGATAAATAATGGATATAACACTTATTTTGACTAAGATTTACAGATAGGAAATTAAATGTGGAAAAATATTCACAGCTTATAACTTTTACCTTAACCAAGAAATTACCTGTGAAATGCAGTTCTTGGAATTTCTGACTGATGTTTCTTTAAAATAAGGTTGAATAACTGGTAGTCCTAAAGGTGTGACCCATTCAAGAGTATCACCTGATACTCTTGTAATCTGCTCTGCACATTCTGTAAACCAGTCCTGTATGGAAGTTAAGAAATAATTTTTAGATTAACTTTAATACACAATGTAACTAAAAAAATAATGAATAAGCATGAAATTTAACTGGAATACTTTCTGTTGACTTTAGACATTTAAGGAATTATAGCTAGGAATTTACTTAATTAAAAATTAAATTTACATTTATTTAAAAATCTAACAACACTAAAAGTTTCTAGTTTCTGATCATGTTATCATCATGCACAAACTTTATTTATTAGGAGCTGATATGACTTAATGATAAAAAAATTGTAACAAACAATTGAAAATAACTGGAGCTTGAAAAATAAATAATATTTTATTGATTACTACTACTACAGAATTATCTATTCTATAAAGTGGAGAGGTAAAATTTATGTTGTTCATTCAAAGAAAACGGCCTTTATTTTGCAATGCATCAAAACCAATAATACAGTGCAGCATCATTTATGTCTTTTACATCTCATTTTATTTTGGTTCCGATTCAATCCTATTTATTTTAATTGTAAAATATTTCTTCTACACGTCACATAACTTTGGTTATACATTGCTTTTGTTTGATTTCCTGCATTGGGTTCACATTTTGCAATCCCATTTTTCAAGTACTTTCTCAGTAATGGGGATAGGAGAAGAAAACAAAGGCATGAGAATTCATAGTCTGGTAAAGGAGCTGAAAACCAGTTTACGATTAAAGGGATACTTGGAAGGAAAACTTCTGATTCTTTCTGAACAGGATGTTGCCTTTTGGATGTTTGAAAACGGTTTAAGTATATTGAACTGTGTTGAACATATTTTTAGGAGCTCCTAAAGCGAGAAAATTGAATTGCGTAAATAGGTGTCCGAGGTGAAAAATTTTTATATTATTTTAAAGCTCTAAAAAGATACATAAGAGGATATAATCTTTAGGAATATATCGCCAAGGACTGAAAAGATATTGTCATTCAAAGTTATCAAGTTCATAAGTTATTAAAATTTACCAATACTCAATGTTAAACTAATATTACAACGACTGGAGCCAAATCTTTTAAATAGCTTATATCTCTGTGAAACTAAACATATTGTATCAAGAATTACAGTACCAGATAGAGCAAATTTTTCTCTTTCAGAATATATAATTTTTATATAAATTTATGTGATATTTTTTTCTAAATATATTAACTAAAATATTGAATTTTCACTAATATTTATTTTTTAATATTCATAGAAAACCATTGTTGACATATCAATATAATATAGGTGATGCAATATAATATAGGTCCTTTATAAGATTTGTATTACATATATTGAAAAAACTGTTTATTAAAATATTTCACGTTATCTTTCTTATAATAATACGTAGGCCATCCAGGAAGTAGATTACGTTTCCGTCTGTGTCCGCTAGGGGCGGGGCTAGCGCGGCCATCTTGGGGTCAGAGCGTTGCGCAGCTCAGTCTGCATCTAGCCGTGCTAGTGAGAGGTTCGTGCTGTGCTCCGTTCAGATACTGTGACGGTTTGAAATGTCTGCGTTAATTGAAAATCCTGCGAGGTGCGCTCAGTAATAAGGTTTCTGACTGCAAAAAACTGTAAACCGATAGAAATCTATCGGCAGCTTCGTGAAGTGTATGGGGACAACATTATCACTGAAGGTGGAGTGCGTCAGTGGGTCATAAGATTTCAAAATGGCCGAACCAATGTTCACGACGAAGATCGAAGTGGGAGACCCAGCATAGTGACCGCCGAACTTCTCGAAAAAGTCGATGCTAAAGTCCGTGAAAATCGAAATTTCACAATAACGGAACTTTCTTTGAGTTTTCCACAAATTTCGCGAAGTTTGTTGCACGAAATCATCAGCGAAAAGCTTGGTTACCACAAGTTTTGTGCAAGATGGATTCCAAAAATCTTGACAGAGGACCACAAAAATCAGCGAATGGCTGCAGCGTTGAACTTTTTGGACGCTTACCATAAGGATGGTGACTCTTTACTCGATCGCATCGTTACTGGTGACGAAACATGGGTGAAACATGTGAACTGTGAAACGAAATTGCAATCAATGCAGTGGGGGCACACAAGTTCTCCCCAAAAACCCAAGAAATGCATGCAAACAATGTCGGCAAGGAAGATGATGGCGACTGTTTTTTGGGACAGAAAAGGTGTAATTTTGGTGGACTTCCTGGAAAGAGGCACTACAATAAACTCTCAAAGGTATTGCCAAACTCTCCAAAAAACTCAGAAGAGCAATTCAAAACAAGCGCAGAGGAATGTTGAGCTCTAAGATCTTGTTGATTCACGGACAACGCCCGGCCCCACACGGCAAATGTCACTCGTAAAGTTCTTGAATCTTTTAAGTGGGAGTTGTTTCCTCATCCGCCGTACAGTCCCGACCTGGCACCGAGCGACTTCCACCTATTCCCAGCAATGAAGAAGTGGCTGGCTATGCAGCGTTTTGATGACGACGCACAGCTGCAAGAAGAGGTAACGAAGTGGTTGAAGGCGCAGGCGGCCGAATTTTTCGACGAAGGAATTTCCAAGCTCGTACATCGCTACGATAAATGCCTTAATTTGTATGGTGACTATGTAGAAAAGTAGTATTTGAGTGTGGCTTTCATCTGTATATAATAAAATTTGTTTCCTATACTTTGTTTATTTTTTTATTCCAAAACGTAATCTACTTTCTGGATAGCCCTCGTATAATTTCTTATAATAACAAGGAAATAGACAACTCAACTTTTCTCATGTAATTTAATGTAACATAAACATTAAAAAATAAATATTAATATAATATCTTTAATCCTTATATTTTTTTACAACAACTGAAACTTTCAGTATTTAATATCAACTGTTTATTTAATATGTATTAATATAAGTAGATAAATAAATAGTCTTATTAAATAAATAAAAAAAAATAATAAAAATATTTCTCAACTGGAACTCATAAAGTATTTAAAATAAAATAAATAAGATTTACATTGATTTACTGCTTGCAACCCTATAATGCAAAACTCTAGATCTTCAAGTTTAACATCACTTGATACCTATCATTCGACTGATCCAATGGCTGTTCTTCAGCGTTTTAAACTTTCAAGGATTTGCAATACTGATGCTAATTCCCAAAGCAAATTAATAATACTAATAATATGGATCAAAAAATTCAAAATGCTTATGAGGAATGCATTTCATTACTACAAACTCGAAGATCTGGCAAAATAGGTCTCTCTAAGAATTTATATCTAAAAATCAAATCTTTGGTTGATTTTATAAAAGATTCAAAACTTGCTGCAAAAAAACTCGCATTCATCTTCACTCTGATATGAAGATAATGAAATAAAAAGTTCTAATGATATTAGTCATCATATCAATTCTAAGAGATATATGGATTCAGCAACTTCACCTATTAGCTGTCAAACAAGAAAATTCTATGATGACGCAGCTCTCTCACCAATCAGTTCTAACTATGAATACGAAACCAGTTTACAAAATATATCTTCACACAAGCAAAGAATTTCAACATCAAATCAAAGTCCTTCTCTGCAACAAAACTATATCAAGGATGCAAACAATAACCCACCCATAGGTTACAATGACATGTAGATTTTACCACGAAATGAAGAAAGTTTTATTTATCATCAAAATATCAATAACGCATTTATATCTTCTATATCTCATGACCAAATACAAAAGGAAAGATCCAGATCTTATGCAGAAGTAACCAAAATAAATAAAGATCCAACTAAAACAGACTCCAACACTTCTTATTATCCCAAAGGCACAAATGACGAATCGTGAATTGCAAGATAATTTAGAAAAATACAATCCAGTTTCCAAAATTGGTGTAAAAATTCAAAAGATTTCACATATCCGAAAAGGTGGTATTGCGGTTTCATGCAATACCAAAGAAGAAATACTCAAGATTAATTCCATATTGGAAAGCAATAAAAATATCAATAATTTAGTTTCTTTCAAAATACCTTCCAAAAGAAAACCTAAATGCACAATAAACAATCTACCTAACAATACTGGTCCAGAAGATGTCACTGAAATAATTAAACAAGCAACTAATTTGGATGAAAATGAATTCATACCCTCTTTTAAAATAAATGACAAAAGAAACAATGGAATAAAAATGGGTAATTGAATGCTCTCCTCTAGCTTTCAAAATACTAATGAAACAAAAATATTATTAACTACGGCTGGAGAAGTCACAAAATCGCAGAATTTTTTGGATTACGTCGATGTTTCATATGTCAAGACTTTTCACACTCAGTCAGAAATTGCAAACATAGAAACTATTGTGCATTCTGTGGCGGCAATCACAATATCAAAGAATGCCAAGCAGAAAGTCCCTTATGTATAAACTGCAAATTACATAATGATGCCAATAATACGGACCTTAATACATATCACCCTGCTTATGCACCAAACTGCCCAATATATCAAAAAGAAGTGACCAAAGTAATTACAAGAACCGAATATGACATCTTAGATTAGTTTCATCCTTACCATTAACAAGTTAATACCACTTCTTCACTTTAATTCACCAAAACAATATAATTAATATGTCACCAATACTAATTAAAAATAAAGAATTTTCGACTCTCAAAATACAACAAATTAACCTTCAAAGAGCCCACTCTTCTATGACAAACCTGGTCCAAATTTCAACCGAGCTCAATCCAGACATAATCCTCATACAAGAACCCTACTGTGTCAATGGAAAAGTTAGCGGAATACCAAACTGTTGGAATTGTATTCAATATGAATCTTCAGATAAATCTTCAGTCAGATCAGCTATCATCATCAATAACAAATACTTATCTCCAATAATAATCTTTACAAGTAAAGATATAGTTTCCATATTATTAAATAATAAAGAAAATCAACTTATCATCACCTCCTTCTATGCATCGCCATTAGAAAATTTAGAAAATAACATTACAAGCCTTTCTTCAATAATAAGGAAACATTCAAAATATCAACACGTAATAGGAGGCGACTTTAATGCCCACCATACAATATGGGGATATAAT